GCCTGCTGAGCACCATGAATTACAAAATTACAAGCTACCCATGGCGTATTCGATATGTCAAAAACAGTATAACGGATCTCATTCCCTGAAATGAGAAAACCCTGAAAGAGCCTCCAATATGGTAGCGTTGGGAAAGACGAGTAAGGAGAGGATGCTAAAATCTCAGGGCTGAGGCGAATGGAGATGTTACTGGCCCCCGCTCGAGTAAATCGATGAACTATGGGATGGCAGTGAGACAGTGATACAATGATTCATTATTAAGTTTCAGGAATACAATATTCCAACATCAATCCCTTTGTGAGCCCACTTACCTCCATCAATGTCCCCAGTTTTCCTCCTGTCCCTTAGCCTGCTTCCAGAGCAAGCACTTTCCCTCTTCCATTGTCATAGTGATCCCTTCCCTAATTTATTCCCCCCCACATCTAATCCAGAGGCAAGGTTCCTACTGAAGGACAGTTCTGCTCTTCATTTCAATTGCCTCTGGGGCTTTGCCTTTTTCAATAGCCTTTTTCTCTTATGAAGAAAATGATATTTTTAATTTGTTATTAATTTGTTGAAAAGCTAGTTGGCACAAGTCTGTGCATCAAAGTAACTTTTTTCAAATACATATGAAGATCTGTGCATCAATATATATGAAAATTAATGGAGAAACAGTCTTGTTCCTGACGTTCCATTCACTTTCAACATCTCTGAATGCATGTGTACCTAGGTCGAGAAGTCAACATGACAACTGACTTGGCACCTGAGTTGCACAGGAGGAAGAGAGTGGCTTGGAATGCCTTCAAGAGCGTCAAAGAAATAGCTAAGAGGATGAAGAACCTCCGGCTCTGGGCACATCTCTTCAATTCCACTGTTTTTCTTGCATTAACATACGCCTCAGAGACCTGGGCCCTATGAAAATAGGATGAGAACGCTATTCGGGTTTCTCAAAGAGGAATCGAAAGAGCTATGCTTGGAGTATCACGCTTCACTCGAATAAGAGAAAGAATCGGGAGTTCTGACCTCCATGATGCTCAAGAATCAGGGACGCTGTCTCGTTTGCCAAGGCATTGAAAATCAGATGAGCTGGACACGTAATGAGATTTAGAGATGACCGCTGGACTAGAGCCATTACTGACTGGATTCCATGGGATGTCAAAAGATCATGTGGCCGCCCACCTACGAGATGGTCAGACTTCTTTGTCCAGACCCTGAACGATCGGTTTGAGGCTCTTTGTGTTCCTAGAACGAGCAGATGTCATTGGGCTATGCTAGCACGCAACGGGATGAATGGAGACGTTACTGGCGCCTGCTCAAGCAAATCGATGGGTAACAGGATATCAAGTGATCAAGTGAATGAGGGAAAAATCCAAAATAATAGTGATTATCTTTGGATCACAGAAATACAGAATACTTCTTTTACCCTTTGATCAACTATAAGTTCTAATGGTTTTTATAATAAACACTTATGCTTATTTAATTTAAAAAAACAAAGCGGAGTCTTTATTGAGGCTTCTGTACTCTTTTTACACTTTTTACACTCTTTTATACCTTTTTTACACTTATTTTTATACTTTACACCTTTTTTTTACACTTTCTACACATTTTTTTTGTAGGAGTACTGCTATTTATTCAGCCACTGATTAGCTGATTGAATTGGGCATGAACTCCACCTTAATTTATTTGATTTATTTTTTTCCTTTTTATATTTATTTATTGAATCACTGTGGGAAAAGTTACTAAGCTTTCAGGTTTAAGTCTCAGTCATACAATGATCAAGCACCTTTCCCTTCACCAGTACTCATTTTTCACCACCAAGAACCCCAGTATACCCCTCCTCTCATCCCTCCAAATGCCTGTGAGGCAGATGATTTCTACTTAACTCTTTTCTACATTGATTACTTTCATTATTTCGACAAAAGATGCACCATTATTATTTAGAATTTCCCCCCAAACAATCAGAATTGCTGAAAAGGAATTGTGAAATATTTTGTTTTCTATAGCTGGTTATGAGAATCATATAATGTCACGCAGCCATGATTTTGAATTTCTGCAAAGAGCCAGGTAATTATGCGATTGGTTTCTGTGTGTCTGGTGTTATGGGCGTGCCGGAGAGCCGCTCGTGGGTGGTAACTCGTGACCTCAGTAGGGCGTGAAGGACGTACCGCCCCCCTTCCCATTAGACTGCAGTTGCCCCGTCACCGCTGGCTTGTACCTGGCTTTCCTATAAGCTCTGAGACGGTGGCCACCTTGCTGCCGGGGGGGGGGGGGGGGGGGGCGGAAGGTGGAAGGGAGCAACACCCTTTCTCTCCCGGGGAGGCATGGCGCTGTAGTGTAACGCATGGTCCATTCACCTTTCTTCTGCAAGCTGCCGGTTCTGGATTAAGTCCTTTTGCCTCTGGAGCCATGGCCATGCCAGAGAGCCGCTCGTGGGGGGCAACTCGTGACCTCAGTAGGGCGTGAAGGATGAGCTGGTACCACCCTCCTTCCCCTGAGACTGCAGTTTCCCCGTCACTGCCGGCTCATACCTGGCTTTCCAATAAGCTCTGAGGTGGTGGCCACCTTGCTGCCAGAGGGGAAAAACGCGGAAGGGAGCAACACCCTTTCCCTCCCGAGGAGGCATGGTGCTGTAGTTTAATGCATGGTTCATTCACTTTTCTGCCACAAGTTGCCGGGTTCTCGATTAAGTCCTTTTGCCTCTGGAGCCATGACCCTGCCAGAGAACCGCTTGTGGGGGGCAACTTGTGACCTCGGTAGGGCATGAAGGACGAGCCGGTACTGCCCCCCTTCTCATGAGACTGCAGTTGCCCTGTCACCGCCGGCTCATACCTGGCTTTCCAATAAGCTCTGAGCTGGCAGCCACCTAGTATGCAGTCCAGATGCATTTCTGACAAAAGTCACTGGGTTTCAAGATTATTTCTGAGTCTCCGATATTATGGTTATTAATCAGCTTGATCAGGAGCCAGAGAGGCCATTTGTAGGTGGTGACTTGGGGTCTCGTTGGGATGGGGAGAAAGAGTCAGCTCCACCCCCATGTAGTGAGGCCCCGTGTGTCTCGTCACTGCAGGCCCAAATCTGACTGTCCAGTGGCCTCTGGAGGATGGTGGTCACCAGGCCGCCAGGGGGAACAGGCCAAGGCATGAAATGTATTCCCACCTGGAGTGATCCAGCTCCGGTAGCCTACTGCAGGGTCTGGACACATTTCTGCCAAAAGCCTTTGGGTTCCGAGATTCATTTCTGAGACTCTGGGATCATGGCCATTAAGCAGTTCGATCAGGAACCAGAGAGGCCATGCCTCCAATTATACAGCTGAGCCCGAGGTGGTTTGTGGGTGTGTCTCCCACATACCTAACTTTTGGCCGTTTACTTTCTTGGTAAACTTTGCCCCAAGATTTTGGGGTCTGGCTAAAGGCACAGCAGCAATTTTGGGGTATCTGGAAGTCTGAAGGCGCCATCAGGCTGCTGATGCACTCACCTCACAGGTACAGATTGACCTGCTGGCGGCACCATACCCCCTCTACACTTTTTCTATATTCTTTTTACACTTTTTACATAGGAGAGAACTGGTTTTTCTCCTATTGGTATTTGGCTCTTTGCCTTTTCTTGGGTTTCACTGAACTATACCAGAATCCTAAAAATTTGATTTTCTTTGTTTAAACTATTATTATCATAATTTTTGGCATGCAAAGGAATCTTAATTCATGTATTAAGAACATATGTGAATTCAATTTATTTGCCAAACATCTAAAATAAAGCACAATATTTCAAATGTCTGATATTTTTCATAGCAACTCTCTCATGATTTTATTCTCACTTTCCATCTTAGATAATAGCTTCCAAACTCTTGACAAATGCAGCTCTGAATCACTGCTTTTTCCTCTCCCCTGAAATCTCAGGCTCTCCATCATTGTATTTTTTCTGGGCCTAAAAGATGGCCCTCACACCACAATGTGGTTATACTTTATACCTCTGATGTCACACTAAAAAATGATTGAAAGTGGCTAAAGGCAGCAGAGCCTGAGAAGTGGTCTACAGAACTTACATGATGATGGGGGCTGGTGGAGGATGTGGTGTGGGATTGTGGTATGCATGAAGTTCTATAATTAATAGTATTGTAAATTATGGTGCTGGAAAATTTAAAAAGTGGTTAAAATGGCAAATTCCATGCTATGGAAATCTTGCCAAAACAAAAATAAATCTACTGAAAAATGTACAGCCCAGAGATGTCCAATATTTAAGTGAATTAGCCTGATTTTTGGGGCTCTAATTTCCAAAAAGTTTTCATGATGAAGTGAGGACAAATGTTATGGGGGGTGAGTAGAGGTGAAATCCTGATGGTATTTAATTAATGTTTATATATGTGTATGTGTGAGCGTGTCTATATCTTTTGACTAAAGTATTCTTTTTTGTAGATTAGGATTACAATCACTGTATCACTGTCATTCCATTGTTTGATTTACTCGTCTCTATTGTGAGACTTGTTACTGTTTTTGGCATATGGAATACTCCACGGAGAGCCTGCCAGCCTCTGCCATAGGGGCGAGATACGCTCTGAGGGGACGGAGGAATCAAACCTGGGTCGGCTGCGTGCAAGGCAAACACCCTACCCGCTGTGCTATTGCTCCAGCTCAAAATAACTGGGGTAGATTATATCACCAGCATTGTAGGGCATATAATGATGAGTTAGGCATTCCTTATACTTGATCTTAAGTTCCTTTAATGTAATTAAACTAAACCCGTTAAATTTATATTAATGTAGAAAAATATGAGAAACATGGAGTTGGTGCATTTTAGTGAACTTTTTTTTATCTTAGTGAACTTTTAACATTTTTCGGGGCACTTTTTTTTTCTTTTGGTTTTTGGCAGCCTAGCTCTGTGCTCTGAGATCACTCTTGGTGGCGGTAGGGGGACCATACATCAAAATGTGTCAGATAAGTAAGGCAAGTGACAACCCCTGTACTATCTCTCCGGTCCCTATTTTTTTCTCTTTCTACAAACCTTGAAGCAATAATAATACTTACTATCAAGTTCATACTGGAGAACTGCATCTCTACTATTAACCATTGTGCCAGAATAAAGGAAGATATTCCATTCTTCATCTGTAAGGGATTCCATATCATCCTGCTCTGTATTTCCATTAGCATTATTTTGCATGATTGTAATGCAAAGTTGAAAAGAGAAACAAAGTTTATGTTGATTAAATAGTGCTAAAGAGACCACCTAGAAGGGAAATAGAACTGTTAGACTAACCAGGTAGATTAAATACCCATGCAAAATTTGCATCGAAGATTGTCTCACTTTTACCCAGCAATTCCACTTCTGGGTATATATCACCAGAACACAAAAACATTCATTCAAAAAGACATTTGCACACCAATGTTCTTTGCAATGCTTAGTACAATAGCTAGGATATGGAATCAACCTAAGTGTTTAACAATAGGTAAGTGGATAATGAAGATGAGGTACACACACAAAATGGAATACTACATAGCTGTAAGGAAAGATGAAATCATGCAGTTGACTGCAACATGGATGGTACAAAGGGAATGCTTAAATCACTCTTGGCCTCAGAGTATAGGGAGGAGAAGGGCAGAGAAGGAAATAAATTGAGGAGGGGATGCAGAGATAAACCAGAAGCAACAGGAAGCAGAGCATCAAGAGGGAATTGAGTACATCGGTGGTGTAAAGGAGTGGTACAGCTAAATACCCAAACTGCAGAGTCAAGAACACTGAGAACAAGGGATCTAAACTTCAACTACCAATCAAGGTGGAAGACCAGGGATGAATGGGTGGGAGGGAACCTGGGAACATAGTGGAGGGAAGAAGACACGGGTGATGGGGTTGGTGCTGGAACATAGTTTGTCTAAAACACAGCTAGAAGTAACTTTGTAAATCATGTTTTTTTTTAAATTAAATATAAAAAGAAGAACATCATACCTTAAGAACGTTTCTTGTCAATAGATCAATTGAAGTTTTAAGATAACTCTTTAAGAGAGTCTCCTTATTTGCTACATAAGAAGATTTTCCGGCATTTGAGCTTACTCTTCTCCAAGTTAATTTCTTTCTTATGAAGTAATCTTCTTGCTCTTTGTGAATGATGGATGAACCAAAAACTCGACGAAACCAGTCCAAGGAGAACTGGTACATGTTGTTGATCTGGGTAAGATTAGTCACTAGAAAGTAGAGCAGGGAGCCTCGGGTAGCAAGAGGGAGATAGCTTTCTCGTGTATCTTGAATTTCACGTTCTTCTCTTTCTGTTGACTCGATGCTCTTTAAAATTTCGCTTAAATTTGTGTTAGAGCTTTTTAAGTCCTCAATAATGTTCTCGTCATCCAGAATATGCCCTAAAGACAAAGTGAGTTGAAATAAATAGCATTGGTACATCAAATTGCAGTTTCCTTGTTCTACACTGACTTTTTACTGATGATTGTGGTAGTTTTATTTTGGAGACAGGCTCTTAAATGAATATAAGCTAAAATTTCAATCAATTAGATTAGTAGCACACATGTATGCTGATTTTTTTCTTGCTTTTTGGATCACACCCAGTGTTGGCCACGTGCAAAGCAAATGCCCTACCCGCTGTGCTATTGCTCCAGTCCCCCTTTTTATCTTAAGTGTTCTTGATTAATTCTAATTTCTTATTTTATTAAATAGCAATTGTTCTGGGGAGGAGGGCTGAAGCAATGTTTCCACAGCATCCCCAGAAAGGACTCAGCTTCTTCTGTCTTCCTTCTCTTCCTACTCCTGCCCATGGTCATTGATGCCACTTCATTTAGGTACCTGGTTGTATCTGTTCCAAACAGCTATGGTCAAGGACAGCTAAATTTGTATGTTATATTGCAGCATCTTTGGTATAGTTGTCTGTAGGCTTTGGAACTCAGACAAACAATCAAAAATATAATTCATCTTTGTCTAGATGTAATTTTGATTTGTAGTATCAAATGTATGAACCTTGCAAGCCACTGATTTGGGCTCGATCGTCTGCATCCCAAATGGTGCCCAGAGCATCACCAGGAGTAATTCCTGAGTTCAGAGTCAGAAGTAACCCTGGAGCATTACCGAGTGTAATGCTAAAATTTGTATGCAACCTTAAAACATTCTAAAGAGTCAAAGCAACTCTTGGAGTCTCGGGCATAGGTCTTTCTCTTTCTTTCTTTCTTTCTTTCTTTCTTTCTTTCTTTCTTTCTTTCTTTCTTTCCTTCCTTCCTTCCTTCCTTCCTTCCTTCTTTCTTTCTTTCTTTCATTAGTGAAACACCATGAGGTATAGTTTTAGACTTACAAACATTCATGTTTGGGTTTCAGTTATACAATGATCGAGTACCCATCCCTCCACCAGTGCCCATTCTCCACCACCAATGATCCTAGTAGCCTTCCCACCCCCACATCCCCGCCTCCGCCTCTGTGGCAGGGCATTCCCTTTTGCTCACTCTTTCTTTCAGGGTCTTGTAGTTTGCAATAGAGGTATTGAGTGGCCATTGTGTTGTCTATAGTCTACTTTCAGCACGCATCTCGCATCCCGAGCGAGTCCTCCAAACATTCTTTACTTCGTGTTCTCTTCTCTATCTGAGCTGCTTGTTCCCCCAGCATGTGCTGCCAGCTTCCAAGCCCTGGAGCAGACCTCCTGGTACTTATCTCAACTATTCTTGGGTGTTCGATTCCCATTCTGTTAAACTTTATATTCCCCAGATAGTGCAGTCTTTCTATGTCTGTCCTTCTCTTTCTGGCTCATTTCACTTAGCATGATACTTTCCATGCAGAACCACTTGTATGTAAATTTCATGACTTCATCTTTTCTAACAGCTGCATAGTATTCCATTGTGTAGATGTACCAAAGTTTCTTTATTTAACCAGTCATCTGTTCATGGGCACTCAGTTTTTTTTCCAAATTTTGGGCATTGTGAACAGTGCAGCAATGAACACAGAAGTGCAGATGTCATTTCGACTGTACTTTTTTGCCTCTTTTGGATATATTCCCAGGAGTGGTATTGCTGGGTCAAATGGGAGCTCAATTTCTAATTTTTTGAGAATCGTCCATACTGTTTTTCAAAAGGGCTGAACCAGTTGGCATTCCCATCAGCAGTGAAGGAAGGTCGCTTTCTCACCACATCTGTGCCGACACCAGCTGCTTTAGTTCTTTTGGATGTGGGCCAGTCTCTGTGGCGTGAGATGTTATCTCATTGTTGTTTTGTTCTGCATCTCCCTGATGATTAGTGATGTAGAGCATTTTCTCATGTGCCTTTTTGCCATTTGGCTCTCTTCTTTGAGAAAGTTTCTGTTCATTTCGTTGTCGGGCATAGATCTCTTTTTTTTTTATTTATTTTTTCTTTTTTTTATTAGTGAAAAACCATGAGGTACAGTTATAGGCTTACAAATTTTGTGCTTGGGTTTCAGTTATACAATGATCAAGTCCCCATACCTCCACCAGTGCCCGTCATCCATCCCCATGGGTCCCAGCATCCCCCCCACCCTCATCCCACCCCCCGTCCCATCCTGCCTCTGTGGCAGGGTATTCCCCCTTGTTCTCTCTTTTAAAAAATTGTTATTAAAGAACTGTGATTTATAAAGTTATTGAGAGTTGAATTTCACTCGTATAATATTTCAACATCAATCCTACCACCAGTGTCAACTTCTCTCCACCAGTGTTTCCATAATCCCTCCCTACCCTCACCCCCACTCATGCCTTGCCAGTCAATTTGACAGGCACCTAACAAAGTTTCAGTGGTTACATCTTAGATCTCATGTTTTCAGTTTTATTGAGTCTATGTTTGGGGTTTATGGCTATTCCACTCACCCTTATCACTGGTAAAACTAAAGCCCTGATGTCATATATAGGTCTTTTTATGTTTGCTAATGGTTAGTCTTTTCTTTATTAAAAGAACCAGCTTTTCTCTTGGTATTAGGTTTAGGCATCTTATAAAAATTTTCTTCCATCTATCTTCATAAAAACGTTATTGCGTTTTTTACTTTAGTAACTGCTGTAGATCTAGAACTGATTTTGATTGGTATGAGGAAGAAATCCAGAATATTCTATTGCTTTGTGTGGATGACACAGGAGTACTCATGGAAATTGTTTCTTCTCAGCCTTCTTGGACTGGCCCCTTTTGCCCCCTTGTGTAATACTGCAGGTCTTCTAACTGGTTCCCTGGTTTTCTGTTTCTCAGAGGTTCCTTGCAGGCACCAGCTGTTTTCCTTGATGGCCACGCGGTTCCTAACACCCTCATTTGCTTCTTTTAAGCTTGCTGTGATGTTATCTCCATGCTATTGTAATCTTCATTGTCACCAAAGCTTTCTGCTTGCTATTCCACCATCCCAGGTGAAGCTTGCCTCTGGCAGATATCCCTTTATATATGTATATATATATTTAATAAAAACATATGTATTTATTTAAAATGGAATCACTGTGAGATAGTTACAAATATTTCATGATTGAGTTTAAGTAATATGTTTCAAGACTCATCCCTTCACCAGTTTCACCTAACCCAGAGCCCCCAGCCTGATTCTATGGAAGGCACTCTTCTCCTCTCTCTCTCTCTCTCTCCCCCTCTCCCTTTTATGCACTATGGTTTGCAATACTGTTATTGAAAGGATATCATGTGTGTTACTCTATTACTCTACCTCCTTTCAGTACTCAATTCTTGTCCAAAGTAACACCCTGGGTAGGGATTTTTTTTTTTAGTGGATCACCGTGAGGTACAATGACAGAGTTATAAACTTTTGTGCTTGCGTTTCAGTCACATAATGATCGAGTACCCATCCCTCCACCAGTGCCCATACCACCAATAATCCCAGTATCCCTCCACCATCCCCACCCGATTCCCCTGGCCCCCGCCCCTGTCTCTGTGGCAGGGCATTCCCTTTTGTTCTCTCTCCTTTTGGGTGTTGTGCTCTGCAATAGAGGTATTGAGTGGCCATCGTGTTTGGTTTATAGTCTACTTTCAGCACATATCTCCCATTCTGAGCAGGTCCTCAGAACACCGTTTACTTGGTGTTCCCTTCTCTATCTAAGCTGTCCTCTCCCCCAGCATGTGAGGCCAGTTTCCAAAATGTGGCGCTAACCTCCTGGTACTCATCTGTGGAATATAAAGTAAAAGAATGGGAGACTAACACCCAAGAATAGTAGAGATAAGTACCTGGGTAGTTTTTTAAACAGTGTATTTTGGAGACGATCATTTTGCAAGCAAATGTCTAAATCCCTATACTATCTCTCATGCTCTGGAACATGCTTTTTATTTTATTTTTTGGGGGAGTCTCACCTGGTGATGCTCAGGGGTTACTCCTGGCTCTGCACTCAGGAACCACTCCTGGCTGTCCATGGGGGACCACATGGTATACGGGGGATCTAACCCTCACTGTGTGAAGGCAAACACCCTACCTGCTGTATTTTTCTCTCCAGACTCATCTGTTTCTTTTAAAAAATGCTTTGTATCTTTGTTAAATTTCTTATTTTGCCCATGTATTGCCTTTGTGATCTTGTTTAATTGCCTTTCTAGGTTTCTCGTAACTCTTGAGCTTCCCGGAAACAGTTGTCTTGAATTCTATTTAGGGTGAACTGCAGATCCCTGGATTGGGTTCAGTTACTGGAAAATTACTGTGAATTTTGGTGGCGCTGCGTTTCCTCAATTTATTCCGTTTTGTGTCATTATTTTTGCATTCGTGGTAGCGTGCGCTCACTTCTTCCAGCCTTTCCTAAGTGCCTTCAAGGTGATGGGTGTTTCTCTGAGGCCCTGCTCTTTATTCTGAAGCTTTCTTTAACTTGGTTGGATATATGTGACCTATACTTCTTGCACCCTCTAGTGGTAGAATTCGCAAACTTTATGGGGTCTTTTTCAGGATTGCAACAGTGTTGCAGTAACCACGGTTTTGTCTTCCCAAAGTGGCGCTGTAACTCCAGGTTGTGGTTTCTTCTTGTCCACAGATCCCGGCCGTTTGGCCAGTAGGTGAGCATAGCCCGTGTCTTCCCAAGCTTTTGCTGCTGCCTTGGGCAATGGGCTCAGGGAGCGGGCATTAGAATGCGGAAGAAGTAGGTTTGGTGCCTAAGGGCCAGCTAAGGGGATCCCCAGGGGGAGATTTTTCTCCTGGAGTCGAGGATGAGTCAGTTGAATCCAGTCTTCTTAAATCCCTCTGATATTCTTCCCCTCCTCTTTCTGAACCTCCTCCCCCACCCATCACAGAACTTTAAATTTAATGTGATAGGCAGAACTGGCGAGGGGTGAATTAGCCTAGCTGGTCCCCGCTTTTTTTTTTTTAAGACAAAAGTTATAGCTGGTTTGTGTCTTTTTTCCTTTAAAAAATTATTTTTTAAATTGAATCACCAAGAGATAGAGCATTACAAAGCTGTTTATGATTGTGTTTCAGTCATACAATGTTCCAACACCCATCCCTTTAGCAGTGTAGTTTCCCAGCACCAGTGTCTTTGGTTTCCCTCCCACCCCTCCAAGCCACCTCTCACCCCCCACCTGCCTCTATGGCAGGCATCTCTCTTCTCTTTGTCTCTTTCTCTTTCTCTCTCATTTTAGGCATTATGGTTTGCAATGCAGATGCTCAAAGGTTATTAGGTACATCCCTTTACCTACTTTCCACACTCAGTTCTTGTCCAGAGTGATCATTTCCAACTAATATTGTCGAAATGGACCCCTTTCTATCTTAACTACCCTCCATCTCCCATACCCTGGTGGTAATTTCCTGGTGGTAATTGGCCAATCCTCCTGGTGCATTTTCCCTGGTCTTGGATATTAGTTTCTCACATTTTTTTTTGTATCCCACAAATAAGTGCAGTCATACTGTATCTTCGGACTCATTTCATTCAGCATGATGCTCTCCAAGTCCATCTATTTATAAGCAAGCAAATTTTATTATCTCATTTTTCCTAACAGCAGTGTAGTATTTCATTCATAAATATACCATGGCTTTTTTATCTATTCACTTGTTATGGGGCGCTCAGTTGTTTCCAGATTCTGGCTGTTGTGAGTAGTGCTGCAATGAACATAGAAGTGCAGATAGTGTTTCTGCTGTGTGTTTTTGGACCCTCAGGGCATATTCCCAGAAGAAGTGATATTGCTGGGTCAAATGGGAGCTCAATTTCTAGTTTTTTCTTTTTCTTTTTTTTGGGGGGGAGGGGAGGATGTCTATATTGTTTTTCAAAAAAGGCTGGACCAGTCAGCATTCCTACCAGCAATGTATTAGGGTCCCCTTTTCCCTGCATCTGTTCCAGCATTGGTTGTTCTTATTTATTTGTAGGTATGCCAGTCTTTGTGGCTTGAAATATCTCATTGTTGTTTTGATTTGCATCTCTCTGATGACTAGCGATTTAGAGCATTTTTCCATGTGGCTTTTGGCCATTTGAATTTCTTCTTTGAGGAAGTTTCTGTTCATTTCTTCTCCCCATTTTTTGATGGGGTTGGGTGTTTTTTTTTTCTTGTAAATTTCCACTAGTGCCTTGTATGTCTTTGATATTAAACCCTTATCAGATGGATATTGGGTGAATAGTTTTTCTCATTCCATGGGCTGTCTTTGTATCTTGGTCACTGTTTCTTTTGAGATGCAAGTACTTCCAGTACTATATTGAATGGAAGTGGCTCTTTTGATCCATTGATTGGGTTGATTCATTGATTGGGAGTGATTGCCAATGCCCTCTAGCTCTGCAAAGTGCCATTTGTAGAGAGGAATGATGCTGTCAAAGTGTGTTCATCTTCCACACTCCAGTGTGTCCAAACTAGGATTGCCTCCTTTCAACGGAGTGTTGGAAGTTGCCCTCAGGAAACAAAGGTTCTGTTAATCTTGAGCTCAAGTTGCTTCCAGAACGTGCCCAGGAAGGGATGGCGCAGTTCTCAGGAGCTCTTGCTTCCATGGCGCACACAAAGGTCTGTCAGTGACTCACTGTGCAGGTCATGACGAAACTCTCCCCAACTTCTTTGGTGTGTGGTGCTCCCAAAGGCACTTTTGTGACACAGTGACAAATTTTCATTGTTAAAGGGGGAATGAAATGAGGAACAGTGTAATACATAGAGGATGCTATCATTCTATCACTCTTATTTTGAATCATAATTGGGCAGATTGCAGACCTCCATTTTTGACAGTTATTGGAATTTTATTGTTTTTCTTTGATTTTTCATGGCCGTTAAGGTATTGTATTACTTTCTGTGAATTTAAAGAAGCAGTTGCCTCTGCTAGTCTTTGCTCACTGATTTCAGTAAAGAAATTCTTTTCTTCAGCCCTGATAGAGATCGGGAGACTTTTTTTTTTTATCTTCTCCGTGTACACCAGTTACGTACTTCTTGTTCCTTCTACTGGAAGATTTTTATTGTTATTTTTTAAAAATTGAGGTTTCATAGTTTACAATGGTAATAAAGTCACTATTTTATAGTTGCAAAATAGAACATCAATCCTGCATCAGTGTTTTAAAATCCCCCTATCCCATTTCATTTTCCCATGGCTCCTTCTGCCTTCCCACTGCCCACTCAGTTCCCAGTTCTATTGATCATGTCTCAGCATTGTTTCTTACTTTATTGTGTTTTATTTCATTTTCAGGTCACACCTGGAGGTGCCCAGACCTTACTCCTGGCTCTGTATTTAGGGACCACTTGAGGGGGTGCTCTTGGGACCATATGTGGTGCTGAGGATTGAAACAGGGTTGGCCATATGCAAGGCAAACCTTAACTTATGTATCCTCCTCCTTGACCTCCTCGTCCTCCTTCTTCCTCCTCTTCCTCTTTTTCCTCTTCCTTTTTATCTTTCCTCCTCCTTCTCCTTCTCCTTGCCCACATTGCTTAACTTGATGATGTGCCTTAAGTCTTTTGGTATTTTACCATTATTTTGTTCCTTTCCTCTTTGCTTCTCTGGATAAGTTTACATGACTTATCTTCAAGTTCACTAATTCTGTCATGTGTATGATTAAATTTGCTGCCTAATTTATTTTCTATTTTGATTATCACATTCTTTAGGTCTAAGATCTCCATTTAGTTCAATTTTATCTTTGTTTAAAATCCCCCACACATTCAATTTTCCTGTGTCCAGTTACTATCTTTAATTTTTGAGGAGGAAGGGAAGTTGGATTTTAACCAGGTGTTTCGTAGGGTTTAATTCAGACTTGGTGTTTGGAGGTCCCTCCTGGCAGTTCTTGGGAAAACATTTGGTTCTGGGAATTGAACTTAGGTCTCCTGCATACATGCAAAGTATGTTTCATTGCTCTGAACAATCTCCTCAGTTCACATTTATCATCTTTATGGTGTTTATTTTGAACTGGTGATCATTTTGCAATATAGACCCAAATGTATTTCAGTTGTATATCCTGAAACTAATGTAATGTCACACATCAATTGTATTTCAATGAAAATGTGTAAAAGGACTTTAAGAGTCTTTACATAATAAACTGAAAAATATATAAAAATGAAAAAAGACAAAATAGAAAAAGCAGTGAATTCCAAAGATGATTCTGATATACATATATAAATATAATATATATCCTTTATTAAGTATTAATGTATCTCAGTGTAAAACAGGAAGGCAATCCACTACTGAGCATATTTTACCACTGTTTAGAATTAGCAGCCATGTGTGCTTCAACAGTTTATATTTAATTGTTTAGAATTTACATTGTTCAGTTTTCTTGTTTTTTAGGTTGTGTGATTTTAGCTTTATGAACTTATGTTAACAATGGTCTTTTTTAAATTTACTGTTTTTTTTTTTTGCTTTTTGGGTCATACACAGTGATGCTCAGGGGTTACCTGGGCTTGGCACTCAGAAATTACTCTTGGTGTTGCTTGGAGGACCATATGGGATGCCAACAATAGAAGATAGGTCAGCTTTGTGCAAGGCAAAGGCAAAGGCCCTACCTGATGTTCTATTGCTCTGACACTCCCCCCCCCCAAACCTAGCAATTTGTCTCAACAATCTAACTTGAAGGGCCCAAGAGAGAGCACAGTGAGTAGTCACTTGCTTTGCACATGTCCAACCTGGGTACAATCCCTAGAACCCCATATGGTCCCCCAGCTCACTACGAGTGATTCCTGATCATAGTCAAGAATAAACACTGAGCACAGCTGAGTGTGGCCACCCCCCCCCCCCCCCAAAGAAAAATCTAATTTGAAGTATAATGCACATAGCAATTACTTGAAGTAAATGTACAATATAATGGAGGGAACAAATCAGACTCCATGTGATTAATTTTTTATAACTTGTAACCAATTATACACTGGCAAATGTGCTATAAGATAATGAGCTAAAGCAGAGGTAAGACCCAAGGAACATAAACATTCATATCATGTTTTAATTTTTAGAAATTTGGATGATTCACCCATATTAATCAGTACCCTGAGAAATGGAGGCCTGGTTTTTTTGGTACCAGTCATACTATACCTCTTATACCTTTTTATTTTCTTCTTCACAAAGGTATGCAAAAGGTTTTCGAATACCACTAAATACTTACCTAGTGAATTCTGCAGTAAATTTAGTATTTTTCTCTCCAGTTCTTCAAGAGTAATAGCATTAAGGAAAATTTTCTTCCATAACTGGAAAAGTTGTTTTTCTAATTGAGGAACTCTATAATTCAATACAGAGGATAATAATTGATTTTGCAAATCTTGGAATGTTAGAGTATAGTTGATAATAGTAAAACTTTTATACATTGATAGGGGAAAGTCAGGATTTTCCATTTCTGTAGATAAATATAACCTGAAACACAAGAAAATTACCGATTGTTAAGATTATATCACAGTCAGTCACAGTCCTCCCGTTGTTCATCGATTTGCTCGAGCGGGCCCAGTAACGTCTCCATCATGAGACTTGTTACTGTGTTTGGCATATCGAATACGTCACGGGTAGCTTGCCAGGCTCTGCAGTGCGGGCGAGATACTCCCAGTAACTTGCCAGGCTCTCCAAGAGGGGTGGGTCGACCCGAGTTAAGATTATATAGGGAATGAAGACTAAAATGGGATTTTTTTCCCTGAAAGTAACCAAAGTTAATTTTTAACATTATTCAGTCTTGTACTCAAAGTAAATTCTCAATCTGTGCTATGTGAATACATTTAGTATGATGAAAAAAATCCAACCATAAATTAGGTTCATACTATTTTTGGTCTAAGCATAATGACAGAGTGAAGAAAAATTCTAAATAGCAGGAATGCTACTAGATGATTGCAAGTGCTTTGTAATGAGTAATCTAAGAAGCTTATGTTCATTGCAACACTTAGTACAATAGCCAGGATCTGAGAAAAACCCTAATGTCTAATGACAGAAGAATGGATAACGAAGTTATAATATATACATATACAACAAAGTACTATGCAGTTGTAAGGGAAAATGAGATCAAGGACTGGAACAATAGTACAGTGGGTAGGGTGTTTGCTTTGCACCTGGCTGACCCAAGTTCAATTTCCAACATCCCACATGGTCCCCCAAGCACCACCAGGGGTAATTTCTGAGTGCAGAGCCAGGAGTAACCCCTGTGCATTGTGCCGGGTGTGACCCAAAAAATCAAAAAGAAAAAAAAAGAAATCAAGTAGTTTTCTGCAACTTGGATGGAACTGGAGGGCATCATAATATGGGATATAAACCAGAGGGAGAAGGACAAATGCTACATGATCTCACTCATCTGTAGTATAACTTGATAACTTGACTTCCAGTTAATTGGCGATTTGCTCGAGCGGGCACCAGTAACATCTCCATTTGTCCCTGTCACGTGCTAGTGTAGCCCAATGGCGTCTGTTCGCTCTAGGAACATGAAGAGCCTCAAACCGATCTTGATGAAGAGGTCTGACCATCTGGTAGGTGGGCGGCCACGCGGTCTTTTGACATCCCATGGAATCCAGTCGGTAACAGCTCTAGTCCAGCGGTCATCTTTAAATCTCATTACGTGACCAACCCATCTGATTTTTGACACCTTGGCAAAAGAGACAGCGTCCCTGATTCTTGATCGTTGATGGATAAGATGGGCTTAATGGTATGTTATATCAAATCTTCAAAGAGGATCCTCCCAACACCCTTTATTTGGTGCTCCCTTCTCTATCTGAGCTCCCTTTTCCCCTAGCATGTGTGACTGGCCTCCAAGTCATGGAGCAAACCTCCTGGTACTAATCTCAGCCACAGTTGGGTGTTAGTCTCCTATTTTGTTACTTTATGTTTCCCAGATGAATGCAATCTTTCTATGTCTATCCCTCTCTTTCTGGCATTTCGCTTAACATGATACTTTCCATGTAGTACCACTTGTATGTAAATTTCATGACTTCATCTTTTCGAACAACTACATAATACTCCATTGTGTAGATGTACCAAAGTTTCTTTAACCAGTCATCTGTTCTTAGGCACTCAGGTTTTTTCCAGATTCTGGCTATTGTAAAGAGTGCTGCAATGAACAAACAAGTGCAGATGTCATTTCGACTTTACTTTTTTGCCTCTCTGGGATATATTCCCAGAAGTGGTATTGCTGGGTCAAATGGGAGCTCAATTTCTAATTTTTTGAGAATTGTCCATACTGTTTTCCAAAAGGGCTGAACCAGTCGACTTTCCCACCAGCAGTGAAGGAGGGTCCCTTTTTCACCACATTCGCGCCAGCACTGGTTGCTTTTGTTCTTGTGGATGTGGGCCAGTCTCTGTGGTGTGAAATGATATCTCATTGTGGTTTGATCTGCATCTCCCTGATGATTAATGGTATGGAGCATTTTCTCATGTGCCTTTTAGTCATTCAGATTTCTTCTTTGAGAAAGTTTCTATTCATTTCAACACCCCATTTTTTGATGGTGTGGATGTTTTCTTCTTGTGGAGTTCAACCAGTACTTTGTATATCCTTGATATCAACTCCTTGTCGGGTGTGTATTAGGCGAATATCCTTTCCCATTCTGTAGACTGTCTTTGTATTTTGGTCACTGTTTCTTTTGAGCTGCAGAAGCTTTTCAGTTTAAGATAGTCCCATTTGTCTATCTCTGTTTTCACTTGCTTGGTCAGTGGCGTGGCATCTTTGACGATACCATTAGCTTCAATGTCATGGAGGGTTTTGCCAACTTTTTCCTTAATGTACCTTATGGATTCCGGTCTGATGTTGAAGTCTTTAATCCACTTTGATCTTACTTTTGTACATGGTGTTAGGCAGAGATCTGAGCCCACTTTTTTGCATGTAGCATCCAGTTTTGCCAGCACAATTTGTTAAAGAGGCTTTCCTTGCTCCACTTCACTTTTCTTGCCCCCTTAGATTAGATGGTTGTATGCTTGGGGGAAAATGTCAGTATATTCAACCCTGTTCCATTGGTCTACAGCTCTGCCTTTGTTCCAGTACCATACTGTTTTAATTATTACTGCTTTGTAGTAGAGTTTGAAGTTAGGGAGGTTGATTCCTCCCATTTTCTTTTTCCCAAGAATTGCTTCAGCTATTTGTGGGGGCTTATTGTTCCATATAAATTTCAGGAGTGTTTGCTCCATTTCTTTGAAGAATGTCATGGGTATCGTAATAGGGATCGCATTGAATTTGTACAGTGCTTTGGAATTAACATTGCCATTTTGGCAATGTTAATTCTCCTGATCCATGTACAGGGGATATTTTTCCATTTCCTCGTGTCCTCTTTTATTTTCTGAAATAGCGTTTTGTAGTTTTCTTTGTACAGGTCCTTTATTTCCTTAGTTAAGCTGATTTCTAGGTACTTGATTTTCTGGGGCACTATTGTGAATGGGATTGTTTTCTTCATGTCACTTTCTTCTCAAGACACATCTTTAAAAGCAGAACTACTCTATCTGCTAACTGTGGGCAGAGGAAGAAAGGAGACTAAGAGATGTCAGATCCTGGTGTAGTGGCTTGTAAATATTAGAATCAATTGTAAATATTACTTAGTCTTTACAAAAACCCAGCAAAGCAGGGACAATTCCCTGTTCTATTTTAGAAACAGTGAGGTTCCGTCACATCATGACAGAATGAAAGAATGAGGCTCTCCAACAGGCCCTCCACGCCTGCCTCTCGAAACACAATTCAGACAGGCAATTCAAACCATCCAGAGAAAGCAGCTTCACTGGCATGTCTAACAATGAATCAATCCTAACAGTGAAAAAGAAAGAATGCGTTGGGGAATTGGGGGAGGGGGGGAAGAATAGATTGACTTGGCATTTCCAGAGAGTATTTCCATGGAGTATTGTTTTCTACCAAAGTTTTGTTAGGTAAAGGGATTTCAAGTTCTTAAAGGAAAAGAATCCTCTTTAACATTGGTTAATCCAGTGCTTTTAAAAATGTTGGGGTCCCTTCTTTGAGTGTTACCTATTAAATTGTGGAATTGCGGTTTTGAGGAACATCTGGAAAAGGTTTCATTCAACCGAGGAAGGAGACTGGAAGAGAGTTCTGAGAAGTGAGAATCTGATTGCCTGGATGAGGAAACTGGATACATTGAGCTTCACACTGGCATCGGGACTCTACAATAAAGTGTCTGCCAGAGTTCAATAAAGAAGGCTAGTGCCCAGGCTCCCCTGTTAAAGATCATCTTCTATTTCCCTTTATTAATTCTTTGCTTATCCAGAATGCCTCTTACTGAATTCACATGGCTAACAATTCTCATCTCTCACTGCCTTGGGGATTAGATTTTAGTGGAAACTTCATTTAGCTGAAGTTTCTGTGCTGAAATTTTCTTTACTGAAGGATTATGTTTTGAGAAGTGGGTGAGACCTGATTTCTTGGAAGTCCATTACTGCTAGGAATATGGAAAATCCTTTTTAAAACAATTTATTGAATCACTGTGAGATAATTACAAGCTTTCATGTTTCCATGTTTGGGTTACAATCACACAATGATCAAACACCCCTCCCTCCACCAGTGCACATTTCCCACCACCAATATTCCCGGTATAACCCCCCACCCCCTTTCCCAGCCCTTCCCTGCCTCCATGGCAGACATGATTCCCCATAATCTCTCTCTACTTTTGGGCATTATGGTTTGCAATAAGACCCTGAGAGGTTATTATGTTTGGTCCTTTATCTACTTTCTGCACACAGCTCCCATCCCGACCAATTCCTCGAACCATCATTTTCTTAGTGATCCCTTCTCTATTCCAGCTGCCTTCTCCCCTTTGCTCATGAGGCAGGCTTCCAGCTATGGAGCAATCTATCTGTCCTGTGTATCTACTATCCTTAGGTGTCAGCATCATGTTATGTTGTTTCAAACTCCACAAATGAGTGCAGTCCTTCTATGTCTGTCCCCCTCTTTCTGACTCATTTCACTTAGCATGATACTCTCCATGTCTATCCATTTATAATCAAAGTTCATGACTTCGTCTCTCCTGACAGCTACATAGTATTCCATTGTGTAGATGTATCAAAGTTTCTTTAGCCAGTCATCTGTTTTAAGGCACTTGGATTGTTTCCAGATTTTGGCTATTGTGAACAGTGCTGCAATGAACATATAGGTACAGATGTCATTTCTACTGTGCTCTTTTTCATCCTCGGGATATATTCCCAGAAGTGGTATTGCGGGGTCATATGGAAGCTCAATTTCTGTTTTTAAAGGACTGTCCATATTGTTTTTATGGAGAGTGCTTTTATCTGCCTATGCAAGAATAGATCTTTTATGCTTTAGTTGTCATATATAAATTTTATCTTTTAAAGAAGCAAAAGTTTTCCTAGATGAAAGAAAATATAAGGCAAGCAGATCAAATGGTGTTCCTCTGGATCAAGTGGGCTAGTTTCTTGCTTCTCACTCTTTCTCCACAACTTCTGTTTTTAGAACCCATACACAACTTGCAAAATATTTGCCATGTGGAATCACTGGATGAATAAAATGTATTCTGTATGCTGATGAGTGCTACTGGAAACACAAAAACAAAAGGAATAGTGCAGGGGTTAAGGCTTTGCATGCAATCAGCCTTGGGTTTCATTGCTGTTACCTCATATAGTTTCCTGAGTAACATTTGGAGTGATCCCTGAGCACAGGACTAAGAGGAAGCCCTGAGAATCTCTGAGTAATTGACCAAACTCCCCTACTCTCTCCAAACTTAAATCAGTTTTCCCTCTAAAGCTTTATCAAGACAACTGCAAAGATAGTTAGGAATGAGAAGGGACCACTATGACAAAGATAGTTAGAAATAGGTAAAGAAAGAAACATTATACAAACCATAATGTCCAAATAAGGTGGAGGGAGATGGAGAGAGAGGTGGGGGGAAGAGACAGAAAGTGCCTGCCATAGAGACAGATTGGGGGTAAAGGTATGGCAGGGCACTGGGGACATTGGTGGTAGGAAATGTATACTGGTGAAGGGATGGGTGTTGGAACATTGTATGACTGAAACCTTACCATGAACAGCTTTGTAACTGTATCTCAAGGTGATTCAAAACAAAAAAAGGCTTATATACAAAAACTTCAATATGATTTGTCTTAAAAATATATACTTTTAAAAAACTTAATTTAACCGAGAGACGTATTACCGGAATTTGGTATTGTATTCAATCTCAGAATCTTCAATCTTCATAAAATATTGTTCTTTTCTCTTGTATATATTCTTTCTCAAAATTGCCTTTAACCTTGGACTTATAGTTTCAGTGAGATTCTGAAAAAAGTAAAGATGCCTAATAAACATAAATTTAAAAAATGTCCATTTTACAACAAATCTAATAAAAAGGTAGCATTTAAAAATTTTGTGTATCTTTTTAATATCTGGACATCAGTGGGTATTACGGTTTGCAACAAGACCCTGAGAGGTTATCATGTTTGGTCCTTTATCTACTTTCTGCACTCAGCTCCCATCCCGACCAATTCCTCCATTGTATGTATCTATCAGTGATAGATCTGTGGGAATTGTACATAGAAAACTATCTCTCCATCCATCCATTTATCTATCCAAATCTGCTGTAAAGGTAGCAATCTAAAACTTTTGTGTGTCTTATTAATATCTGGACATCAGTGAAAAATCAGTAAAATGTACATAGAAAAACTTTACCCATCTTTCAATCTATTATTTATCTACCTATCATCTCTAAAATTTTTTTGAGAGAAAGTACAGGAGGTAAAATACTTGCCTTGAATGTGATCAACCCCAGTTCAATCACTGCCTATAGTCCTCTAATCACTCCCAGGAGTAATCCTTGAACACAGTGAGGAGTAAGCCTGAGAGCTGACAGGTGTGGTCCTCCTCAGCTACACTAAACATTTTAGCTAAGTCTACATAGCTATTCTGCTTCACCCGCATCTCTACTTGCTATATGCCATTTATTTCTCTTACTTGTAAGGGGTATCCTCTGCTCTCTCTGCTCTAGAGAAGCCCACAATCTCTCTTGAACACATCAGTTTTTCTCTCTCTTTTCATATTCCTAAAAAAAACTATTTTACTTCCCAAAATTAAAAAATAGATTTTTTTCTTCTGTAAGTTGTCAGAGATCTTGGTGATTTTTTAAAAAAAATTTTGTGTGTGTGTGTGTGCTGGAGATCCGAGCAAAGGTCTCATTCATACATGTGACACATCACACGTGTACCTCTGAAACAAGGGTTGCTCAGTGTATACGTACACGTCAGCTGAAAGGAATTAGGGAATGAACCCACTCATCAAGATACCTGCAAGTAGACACTTCCTCCTATTTCTATAGCCTTTTCAATTTTTTGGACACAATTACTGTCCTCGGCAGAGAGCTCCTGCAGCTTTGTTCCTTCCAGCCACCGGATCCAGCTGTCTGCTTGCTTATGTGGGTTGATCAGCAGAGGCCACTGCAGAGTTTTCATAATCAGGATGGCATTCTCTGTGGAATACTGGCCAAGGGGTAGTCCATGGTGATGCCAAAGGCAGACCTAAAATGAAATAGTCCTTGCTTTCATTATTTCATAAACTCCTCACATCCCAATATCCTAAAGGATACTAAAGGATCCTACTAGATCATTAACCTTAGAACACTCCAGGGCTCTTTAGGAGAACTAGGGAAACAAATAATTTAAAATAACCAGGAATATGAATTTTTGGCTAAGATTAGTAATTATATACTAAATCATACTAGTCACCAGAAAGGATTTTTAGAATGACGCACAAAACCAAGGTACTACAAAGATAGAAAATAAATATGAGAGAGTGCTTGTTTCCAATATCTTTTTATAGCCTCTAATGCATCTATAAAACTCACCATAATACAGAATTGAACATATAAAAGAATGACTACTTTCTTATAAACCTACCACCTGAAAAGCACATAATTGCATTTTCTAGTTAAATTGCTGTTAAACAACCCTTGTTTCTCAGAAAAAGGAACTGAGGCTTTAAGGAAGTTAGGAACTTGCTAATGATCACTTGGCCAAAATAAGACAAACTTGGGAGTTTGACTCAAGACACCGACTTAGAGTCAGATAAATCTTTTTTTTTAAATAAATGATTTATTTATTTTGCTTTTTGGGTCACACCCGGCGTTGCTCAGGGGTGACTCTTAGCTCTGCACTCAGGGATTACTCCTGGCAGTGCTTGGGGGATCATATGGGATGCCCAGGATGGAACCTGGGTCAGCCAATTGCAAGGAAAATAACCTCCCTGTTGTCCTATCCCTCTAGCCCTCAGATAAACTTTTGTCCTTGTCTGGCCTCTATTTATCACTCTTGTTGTATGCTGGTATCAGCAGGTTGGGAGAAAAGAGCCATGAAGTTTCCTAGTTGTCAAAAAAAAAAAAAGACTGAATCCATGAAACCTTTATGAGAAAGGCATAGATACTTCTCTGGGAAAAGCTAAGTAGAACTGCTTTTTGGGGTTCAGTGAGATTGGGGCGACACCCAGCAGATCTCAGGGTTTACTCCTGGCTCAGTGCTCAGGAATTGCTCCTGGTGGTACCAGGGGGAGGGCATGTGACGTGTCAGGGACCGAATTTTGATCAGCAATGTGAGAGGTAAGATACTTTTTTCTAGTTCCTTAAGATGTAGAGTTGAGTAGCTTAAGCTCTTTCATTATTTGTTATGTTTTGTTTTTGGGCAACACCAGACAATGCTCAGGCTTACTCCCAGCTCTGTGCTCCTGGTGGGGATCGGGGCACCACATGTTGTACCAGGGATCAAACCCGGGATCCTTGTGCAAAGCAAGCACCTAACTGGCTGTACTATCTCAACAGCACCACTTTCTTATTTCTTAATGTTGGTGCTTACTGTCATGAATGTCCCTCTCAAAACAGCTTTGATACATCCCTGAAATTCCGTGGTTTTTTTTTGGTACATTGTGTTTCAGCTTTTATTTGCCTCAATAAACTACAGTTCCTCTTTATTCTTGGTACATTGATTGTTTAGGAGAGTGTTGTTTAATTTCCACATATTCATGCATTATCCAATCTTGGTTTTGTTACCAACTTTTGCTTTTCATGGCATAGTAGTTAGAGAAAATGCTTGGTGTGATGCACTCTTTTGGAAATCACTATGACTGGTTCTGTGACTTGAGATATAACTTAGAAAGTGTTTTTTTTTTTGTATTTGGGAAGGCTGTGTGGTCTGCTGTTGTTATTTTTTAGCCTTCTTTGCTAAAGAATCTGTTTTCTTCTTGATCTCCTGTCAGTAGTAAGGACTTATCTATTATTGAGAATCTACTTAAAAATAGATGTTTAAAATTCCCAACTATTATTGTATGATTTCCTTCCTTCCTTCCTTCCTTCCTTCCTTCCTTCCTTCCTTCCTTCCTTCCTTCCTTCCTTCCTTCCTTCTTTCCTTTCTTCCTCCCTCCCTCCCTCCCTCCCTCCCTCCCTCCCTCCCTCCTTCCCTCCCTTTCTTCCTTCCTTTCTCTGCTAGATAAACATACATGCATTTATTTTGGGTAAAAAAATCCTAGGATTTGTGCATATGTGGTGAGAAAGGGACCCTCCTTCACTGCTGGTGGGAATGCCGACTGGTTCAGCGCTTTTGGAAAACAGTATGGACGATTCTCAAAAAATTAGAAATTGAGCTCCCATTTGACCCAGCAATACCACTTCTGGGAATATATCCCAGAGAGGCAAAAAAGCATAGTCAAAGTGACATCTGCACTTGTTTGTTCATTGCAGCACTCTTTACAATAGCCAGAATCTGAAAAAAACCTGAGTGCCTAAGAATAGACGACTGGTTAAAGAAACTTTGGTACATCTACACAATGGAGTACTATGTAGCTATTAGAAAAGATGAAGTCATAAAATTTACATACAAGTGGTACTACATGGAAAGTATCATGTTAAGCGAAATGAGTCAGAAAGAGAGGGATAGACATAGAAAGATTGCACTCATCTGGGAAACATAAAGTAACAAAATAGGAGACTAACACCCAACTGTGGCTGAGATTAGTACCAGGAAGCCAGCCACACATACTAGGGGAAAAGGGAGCTCAGATAGAGAAGGGAGCACCAAATAAAGGGTGTTGGGAGGATCCTCCCAGGATGGGAAAAGTATGCTGAAAGTAGACTATAGACGAAACATGATTGCCACTCAATGCCTCTTTTGCAAACCACAACACCCAAAAGGAGAGAGAGAACAAAAGGGTATGCCCTGCCACAGAGGCAGGGTGGGATGGGGGGGATGGGGAGTGGGAGGAATACTGGGACCCGTGGTGGTGGAAAATGGGCACTGGTGGAGGGATGGGTATTTGATCATTGTATAATTGAAATCCAAGCACAAAAATTTGTAAGTCTACAACTGTACCTCATGGTGTTTCACTAATAAAAAAAAAAAGCCCGCAAGGCAAAAGATCCAGCTCTTTGATACTGTTGCCAAAGCTGAATATATCCTTAACTTTTAGCATCTTGTTTTTCTCATCACTGGAATAAATAAGTTTAACTGAATTACCCCATAGGTCTTTATTATTACTAAAATTCTATTATTTTGCCAATCATATTGTCAGTGTTCTCTCACAAAAACTTACATAGTAAAGGGGGAAACTTTCCATTTAACAAAAGGACTCCTGGGCAGCCAGAGACACTAAAAAAATAATTTAAACTATTTTTAAGCTTCTGCAAACTCATGCAAGATGTTCTATCTCTGTTATATTTGAACATTCTATTTCATTGTGATAAATATAACCTTAAAAATGCACAGGTGCTAATTACTTGTTGATACAATAAACACAAATGAGCTGAAAACAAAAATAAAAACAAAACAAAACAAAATCCTAAGATTTGAATGTTGGTTCATGCGTAGGAGCTATGTTTTGTTTTTTGTTTTTGGGCTATACCTGGTGGTGCTCAGGGCTTATTCCTGGTTCTGGCTCAGAGATCACTTCTGGTGGGACTCAGAGGTGCCGAGGGTTGAAACTAGGTCGGCAGCATGTAAGACAAATACCTTATCTGCTATACTATCTTTCCAGCTGCTGTGTATCTCATTTTAGATTTAATTTCTGTTCTTCTAACTAATAATGTTCAGCATTTTCCACACATTTATTGGTTATTTGGAGAAGGCCTTTGGTGAGCTGCCAGTTCAAAGCTCTGCACCATTTTGCTACTGTGTGAGTGATAGCACAGCAGTAGGGCGTTTGCCTTGCACGTGGCCGGCCCAGCCGACCCGGGTTCAATTCCTCTGCCTCTCTCCGAGAGCCGGGCAAGCTATCATATTCAATATGCCAACCACAGTAACAAGTCTCACAATGGAGACGTTACTGGGCCCAAGTGAGCAAGTTCATGAACAATGGGAGTACAGTCTTTATGCTGTTGATATTTTCCTTCAGCCTTGTTAGTAGCAATTTATTTTGAGACTCTTTTTGGATGTATATGTGTTAATGAGCTATTGACCATTCTAGAATATCCATCTCTGTCTTCTAGTATCTTTTGAGTTTAAAGTCTGTTTTGTCTGCTATTAATTATGGCGGTCCTAGCCTTTTTAGGCTACTCTGTGCCAACATGATTGTTCCCCAAGTTTTTAAATGGATCTGTCTCTGAAAACATGCACTGTGAGTGTATCTTGGTGGGTTTCTGTCCCGTTCCATGGGTTGGGATGTGTGCTTGTTTCTCTAGTTTATTTTGTGAGAGAGCAGCAGGCATTATTTAGGTTTGATTTTGTGTCCACCCCCCACCCCCTCCAGTTTTGATAAAGCTCTGTTACTTCACTTTCTTTCTTCCTTTTCTGCCATCTGGCCACCTGGTCAGGCATTTAGGTTTTAAATATTTCTATTTGATTAAAAAAATGTAACTGACTTAAAAAATGTAGCTTTTAGGGTGGGTGTAGCTCAGCAGTTCCCTTATATGTGTGAAGCCCTGGATTTGATCCCTTACACCACAGAAATAAAGTTTCGAAATCCAGTATATCAGTGAATAGCTTGTCAGTTGAAAACACAGCACTGGGACTGGTGGGATAGTACAGCTCGTAGGGTGCTTGCCTTGCATACTCTGTCTGCTCAGTCTAGGTTTAATCCCTGACCCCAACAGCGTCTCTCATACCCATATGGTCTCGCAAGACTCACCAGGGGTGATCCCTGAGCACAGGGCCAGGAGCCCTGAGTACCGCCAGGGTTAAAACCCCTAACAAACAATCCTCCCCTTGCCCTCCTGCCCCCAACACAACTCACAGACACAGTTCTACCAGGTTGTCTTAATTATAGTGCTTTTTGCCGTAAACTGCATTTTGTCCTTTTTTGGGGGTAATATATAGTAATATTTTCTTATTTAAAACTATTTAGTGTCAACATAATGTTTAAGTGTGCACATTCTAAATAATGTGATTTATATTTTCTTGCTTAGTTTTATATTTTTTATATAGTCACTACTTTAGTCTTTTAACTGTACCATTTACCATGAATGTAAATCATCCATCGATTTGGATTTAAATGGGTGATTTTAGCATTATGAAAATGAGAAATCACCATCTGTTTCAGAGGCTAATGGTTGTAAGGTCAGTTGAGTTCTCAGTGGGGAAACGAATGTAAAAGTGTTCTCTGATTATAAAAAATAAGTTGTTCCTTTTTATGCTCTCCACATTAGTATAAAACTTAAAGATTGAAAATAAAAATGCATTGATATCATGAGATCTATATTTTGGCTATTTATAAGAATACTACTCACCTGCTATTATTGGATGCTCAATAAGCTCAACAATATTATTAATGAAAGGATTTTTGAGGGCAGGAACTTACTATTTTTTTTTTGTTCTTGAGAAAAGGGTAATAAGATTTCCATGAGAAAAAGGATATTTTGTGACTTTTGACAGATGATGAAAAACAGGAAATGTAAGTAACTGAGGCATATGTGGAAAAAAGTAAGGTCTGGACCAAATCAGTACTTTATCAAAATGATTTGGGAAAAGATCTAACTTCCCAATATACACATACCCCAAACACAAATATATATTAAAATCACTTAATTGAATATTAGAAGGATGCTTATACCTCATGTTTTTGTGTCATGACTTCAATTAAAGAAAATTTAGAAGATAAAGAGATGCTGTTTTTAATGCAGAACTTCTCCCATTTATTCACCATTAACTGTCGAAATTCTGCTGTTAAAGCTCCATTATAGACAATGCACGCTGCTGATAGAAGTATATCACCGAAAATTCCCTCCAACTTCATGTTTATTTGATCGATTCTTTCTTGCCATTGAATCTAAATGTCAAAATAAAACTGAATTAGTGCTATTTAATATAAAATATGCTATTATGAAACACCTTATGGATTAATGATTTCCATGTTGAATTTATTATTGCTATATTGTTCTCACATCATTGTTGAGCTAAAACAATGGGCAATATTTGAAAATAAACTTTTTTGGTTTATTTTTGGGTCATATCCAGTGGTGCTCAAGGCACAGTTTGTGGGACCAGTTTGGATGCTGAGAATTGGACCTAGGTAAACTACTTCCAATGCAAGTAAGCACTCTGCCTACTGAACTATCTCTTTGGCCCTGGAAATAAGTTTTTTTAAAGAACAGGAGTCCTATTCTTGGGTTTGTCAAGTGTACTATTTATTTAGATCGATGGACAGCATTTAAAATCATCAATTAAAAACATAAATTCAGGATAATGTATTACAAATTGTATTTCAGGATAATAATAACCAATATGTTTAATACTTATATGGTTCAACACTGTGCTTTGAAAATCTTATTTGCTGCTTTCAATATCTTATTAAGTAAAAGCCATTTATTTCATGTTGAAATGGGGAAGCTGAAATTTAAAGTGAAGCAACTCGCTTGAGGTTGTAAAGCTCCTGAAAAGGGGATCAGAAGATGGTGTGAGACTTTCTCCTGCAGGCAGGTATATGCCTGATTAGTCAGTAGATAAAACATGCTGAGCTAGGACTCTCTCTTCTGGACACATCTACAAAGTGTTGATATATTGCTGATTATCAATCTGTACTTAGCACTTATTGAGAACAGTTCCTCTGATTTAAGCCCCACCCTTTCTCCTTTGTATGAAACTCATGAATAGATACTTGCATTACAATGGACATTACATTTTAATAGGATATTTAATAGGATAACTATCTATTTCGACCATTAAGTGAAATAAAAATTATCTTGCAAATTTTGTAACATCTTTCAAGATAGCTGATTTATGTTTAAGTTAAGATTCTAGTCACTTTACCAGGGAATTCAAGTATAAGAAGAAAGATTAGCACTGTAGCACTGTCCTCCCATTGTTCATTGATTTGCTCGAGTGGGCACCAGTAACGTCTCACAACAAATTGTAAGACTTGTTGTTAATGTTTTTGGCATATTGAATACGTCAGGCTTTGCTGTGTGGGCAACATACTTTCGGTAGCTTGCCAGGCTCTCCGAGAGGGGCGGAGGAATTGAGCCCGGGTTGGCCCCATGCAAAGCAAACACCCTACCTGCTGTGCTATCTCTACAGCCCAAGAAGAAAGATTACTTTGAGAAACTAAAATATGAGACCAAAGAGGTCAGAAGATGCAGGAAATATCTTTTTGCTTCCTAATTACGTTTTACCCTTTCAGCCCCAGTCACAATTTAGGCATTCAACTTGGGCAGTTCCTGAAGGAAAAGCTGAACTTTACTTTGGGCCTCATCAAACAAGAGTCTGTATGCTGATAGAACAAGAAAACCTAACTCCTGAGCTTTGCAGTCTTATACCTCTGTTTTAGAGTGTTTTAACAGAACTTCTTTACTTTTATCTGAGTAGGACTTTTGTTAATTTCTGTGAGATATTGTCAGTATGATAGTTTTAAGAAGTTTGCAATATAGCCCCCAGTAAAATGAAAACCTTCAGATTTGCCAAGCCTCGGAGACATTCATGGAGGGTATAAAGCTAAAGTCATACCCTCTTCTTGCCCAGGATATTTAGTAAGAGGGAAGCATGCTGCAAACGCCTGCTGACAAATTTTATTCGCTTTGATAATATCTGTTTATCAAGAATAATATTTTTATAGTCTGCCTTCAAAGACTGCAGATGGTCTCCAATCTGAAAGACAATGAATTTATTATTGAGATAAAATATTATTTACATTATTCTTGAAGGGTTTATCTGTCATATATATAAATATAGTCTATATAAGTACTTCACTTTTTGTCCTGAAATATCTTTCTGAAAAGATGAATTATATCCCAAAAAGTATGTACATGATAGTAATTCAATGAATGATTCCTTGGTATTAAAGTTGACCTGGCAACTTTAAATTTGGCAGTTTAAAAAAATGGCAATTTTAAATTTAAAATGATATCCTTCTCAATAAATATTTTAACTATTACAGCATTGAAGAGTCATCATTTCCTGATTCACTTTTAACACTGGAAATTTTATGTCATTATCAACTTCTTCCTCTAAGAATATGATTAAACATTTTTTAAAAATCTCAGAAATACTGACTTACTCAGAGGAACTAATGAGTTTTTGAAGGTATGTAGGCTTGATATCCCTAGGCTTTCAAAAGAAACTTATTCTGCTTATGAACAGTCAATAAAATAATTTTCTTACATTATCACTGACTTTGTATGTTTTGATCATACCCATCAGTGTCCAGAGCTTACTCTTGGCTTTGCTCTGAGAGTTCACTCCAGGCAGGACTCAATAGTGGAGGGATGAATTGAACCCTGGTTGACCACATGCAAGTCTAATTAATGCCTTCCCCACTGTACTATCTGTCCAGCCTAATCTTGGTAATATTCTTCCTCAAAAAAATTTGGTGAATTCTTATGGAAACATATCCCAAAGTTTTGACCATACCAGTAAAAACCTTTATTTATGTTTTTGGACACACCTGGCAGTGCTTATTCCTGTGCTCATGGGTCAGTCCTGGGGAAAGTATGTAGGGCCAGAGATTGAACTGAGGTTAGCTGTAGGATAACATTATTCTGTCCTTCCTCAGGTAGCTTACGTTTATCGGGTCACACCCATTCCAGGGCACTGAACTTGTATTATAAGTTAATATTGCCTTTCTCCTCTCCTTATGTCTTTTGAATAGTTTACCTTAAAGCAATGTCCTTTCTGTATGGACACAGGAAGACAGGTAATATCATGCTTTGTAACTTGGGAGTCCATTGACTCCAAATAATATTTACTCCTGGGCATCTGTTTTCTGGATCCAGGCCACACACAGTGGCTCAAGAGCACTGAACGGTGGCAGTGAGATAGAGCCGTCCAGAGATCCCGTGAAAACACAACCTTTGGCGTGCTAAGATTTTACAGCTGGCGTCCCTTGGGTGGGCTTGAGCTACCAACTAAAGGTAAGAATAGCGTTCGGTGCTCTTGAGCCGCTGTGTGTGGCCTGGATCAGCACGGCTGTTGGCCAAGGGCAGATGAAGGAAGAAACGAGAGCCAGGCTGGTCGATATCAATTGCAGTTTATTCCAATCCTCTTCCAATCCTCAAGCTGAAAGATGTCTGGTCTTCTAGGCAAGCCCACTCTCTTGGAATAGGGACGATTTTATCAGTTGTGTAAAAATTATTACAGAGTCAAGGGAAATGAAAAAACAGAGGACTACACCCCAAGCAATACAATAGTAAATAATGCTAAAAATATATCTGTAGACTACTATCCCTGATGAAAGCAGATGCAAAAATAATCTCAACAAAATGTGAGTAAACAATGCCAGAATCCATTAAGATTGTACATCACAGCTGTTAGAAAAGATGAAGTCATGAAATTTACATACAAGTGGTACAACATGGAAAGTATCATGCTAAGCGAAATGAGTCAGAAAGAGAGGGATAGACATAGGAAGATTGCATTCATCTGGGGGATATAAAGTAACAAAATATGAGATTAATACCCAAGAATAGCTGAGATCAGCATCAGGAGGATTACTCCATAGCTTAGAGGCCAGCCAGGCATTCTAGGGGAAAGGGCAGTTCAGATAGAGAAGGGAGCACCAAATAAAGGGTGTCTGGAGGATCCTCCCAGGAGGGGAGAGACGTGTTGAAAGTAGACTATGGACTGAACATGTTTGCTACTCAATGCCTCTTTTGTAGACAACAACACCCAAAAGAATAGAGAGAACAAAAGGGAATGCCCTGCCACAGAGGCAGGGTGGGATGGGGGGATGGGGGTGGGAGTGATATTATCCATGGTGGTGGAAATGGGCACTGGTGGAGGGATGGGTGTTTGATCATTGTATAGTCGAGACCCAAGCACAAAAATTTGTGGATCTACAACTGTACCTCATGGTGTTTCACCAATAAAAAAAAAGAAAAAAACTATTAAAAGGTTCTACATAAAAAAAAAGATTGTACATCACAATGAAATGAATTTATTTTAGGGATGTAAGAATGTTTATAATATTTGCAAGTCAATACATGTTTTAGTATACATAAAATGGTCATCACAATAGATGGATTTGACAAAATGTAAATTTTTTTCCATTGAAAAGCAAACAACATGTTTAGTATAGGAAGAATATGTCAGAACATAAAAAATTACATACTGTAAACCCAAAATTGATATTCCAAAGCTGATATTACACTCACTGGTAGATAAATGGAAGCATCAGGGCTGGCATTCTTAATCAATGTAGTACCAATAAAACTAGCTGAAATAATTGAGAAAAACTAAGAAATAAAGGCACCCAAATTGTTAGTATTTGCATAGGAAATGCCAAAGACTAAGTAAATAATAAAAAAAAGTAAACAACAGCAACAAAAAACATTGAAACTAATCAACAGTTTCTAGTAAAGTTGGAACATATAAGTCAAAATACAGAAATTAGTTGGATTTCCAGACACTAAAAAAAAGAATGGTCTTGGCATAAACCGGTTCCCCAATGCAAAACAGAGAGGTCAGAATTGATGACCATTCTTTGACAGGAGAGACAAAAAAATTCAATAGGCTAAGAATTGTAGCTGTCACAAAATGTAATGGAAAAACTGTATAAATACATATAAAGCAATAGTTAACCGCTTATATCAGATGACTCACAAAACAACTCAAAGTGAATTAAGATGTATAACTTATACCATAAAATTCTGGGAAAGAAAATATTAAAAGGCTCTTTATTGTTGGTTTTGGTAATGATTCCTTTTTTTTTTAAAATTAATCCACCAAAGCACAAGCAAGGGTCAAATTTTTTTTTTAAAGATAAAAGAACATAAAAGATTCTGCACAAAAAAAAGTTAACCAAAGAAAAGGGAAATATAGAATGGGAGAAAATAATGAGCTGATATTTTAAAAATATAAAGAATTAATAAAACATAATAACAACTAACTCCCAAACTCTCTACTTAAAAATACAGCAAGTATGTCATTTGCCTTGTCCCACCAGCTGCAGTGGTTGACCTGGGTTCAATCCCTGGTATCCTATATCATCCTCAGAGACTTACCCAGGGATGATCAATAAATACAGAGCCAGGAGTAGGTCCTTAGTACTGTTGGGTGTGACCCCCAAATAAAAACAACCCCCCAAAAAAAGATGGGCAGAGGAGCTACTTAGACCTTTCTTTCAACGAATATACACGAAAGGACCAACATGTAAATGAAATCATGTTCTACATCACTAATCATAAGAAAAATGCTAAGTAAAAGAACCACAGTAAGATATCACCTCCTATTTTTGATGGCAGATAAGAGAGAACAAATGTTATGGTTATATATAAACTTTAGGCCTGAATATTTTTTTTTTTCTTTTTTATTAGTGAAACGACATGAGGTACAGTTGTAGATTTACAAATTTTTGTGCTTGGATCTCGGTCATACCCCGATCAAATACCCATCCCTCCTCCAGTGCCCATTTTCCACCACCAGGATAATATCCCTCCCCCCCCATCCTCCCATCCCCCCATCCCCCCCTGCCACTGTGGCAGGGCATTCCCCCCTGTTCTCTCTCTCCTCCTGGGCGCTGTGATCAGCCAAAGAGGCATTGAGTGGCGAACATGTTCAGCCCAGTCTACTTTCAACCTGCATCTCCCCTCCTGGGAGGATCCTCCAAACACCCTCCACTTGGTGTTCCCCTTTCTATCTGAATTGTCCTTTCCCCTAGAATACCCAGCTTAGGCCTGAATATTTTATGTCAAAAAAGTCACCGGAAATTTTACAGGCATTTTATTTAATCTGAAGACACAAAACCCTTGCTTTGGGTAACATGGAGGTTATCAGTTTTCTTTCTTCCAATCAGTAAGTAGCACTGTCCTCCCATTGTTCATCGATTTGCTCGAGCGAGCAACAGTAAGGTCTCCATTGTGAGACTTGTTACTGTTTTTGGCATATTAAATATGCCACGGGGAGCTTGCCAGGCTCTGCCATGCGGGCGGGATACTCTCGGTAGCTTGCCAGGCTCTCCGAGAAGGATGGAGGAATCAAACCTGGCTCGGCTGTGTGCAAGGCAAATGCCCTACCTGCTGTGCAATCGCTCTAGCTCACAAGTATGAAACATTTTCACTTGTGTCTTCTTTAATTTCTTTCATTGTTATCTTAATATTTTCAGTATACAGATATCACTGTATCACTGTCATCCCATTGTTCATCGATTTACTCAAGCGGGCAACAGTAATGTCTCCATTTGTCCCAGTCCTGAGATTTATTTATTTATTTATTTATTTATTGAATCACCGTGAGAACAGTCACAAAGCCTTTCAGTTCAAGTCTCGGTTGGTCATACAATGATCAAACAGCCGTCCCTTCACCAGTGCACATTTTCCACCACCAAGAACCCCAATATATCCCACCTCCCACCCACCCTCCACCTGTGTGGCAGATTTCTACTTTACTCTCTCTCTCTCTCTCTCTCTCTCTCTCTCTACATTGATCACATTCAATATTATGACAAAAGACCCAACATTGTTATTTGGAATTTTCCCCAACATTCAGACCTGCCACAAAGACATAATTAGAAAATTTGTTTCCTATTGCTGATTATGAAGAGCATATGATGTCGTGTGGCCACAATAGCGGCCACACAAATTTGGATTTCTGATATTTTCATAATAAAACTAGAGGGATTACTGCCAGAAGCCCCTGGCATGTGTGCCTCTGCA